AATTAACTCCTTACTTTGAATTTACTCAGTTCCACTTTCTAATATTTCTGTACGTTCACCATGTGGTACCATCATGTATGATGAGACGGCTTTTTCTCATAACCTCTTGCAAGCTGTTGCTGTGAGTGTTTCTTGTTAACTCTCCTTTGGTTAAGTGCTATGATTGTAAGATTAACCGTCGTGCTCTGAATCAGTTCCCTCTTCCTTCAGGCCTGTAGTTGGTGTTCATGGTGAAAATACAATACTGGGCTGGGTGGGAACTGTGCAAGGGACTTCCTTGACCGATGTGAAATAGGTGCAGGTATTCAGGCAGAAATGGTTCCAGCCTCTTGAATGTTTCTCTTCATAAGGTCATTCTTTGCAGATTGTAAGATAGGGATTTTTTTTTTTTTTTTCCTCTTGGAATAAGTCCAGCTTGATAAGTTTATTTTATTATGAGAGCATGTCTGATTTGGAGTGAGTTCTCCAGGAGGCACTGGGTGGCTGTATATGGAGAACTGGCCTGATTATATTACCACTTCTGTCTTCCTTGCTTTTGGCCTCTAAAGTAGCCTCCAGCACTAGATCAGGTGTAAATTTACCTTGCTCAAGATTTGTGCGACGGTTCCAGAGTTTTAGCCCTGCTAGTATATTTTATCACTCCTTCCATTGACAGGAAATCCTAGTTACTCTGTGTCACCTCTAGATTCAGTAATTGCTTACAGGCTGACAGGTCATCTCTCAAAAAGAGATTCACGATCTTTTTCATCTGTTACAATGTCTTTAGCAGGAAGTCAAATGTGGTTTCCCCATCTTACAATCTCCTGTCTAGCTATTTATGCCGTCTCAACTTCCTTGCCAAGCTTCACCCCAGAGCGTCCTCCAAAAATGTGGCACAAAGGTCGAGCTTCTTGCTTTTTGCAGATCCTTTCTTCTTCTTAGCAAGGCATGGAAAGAACAGCTGTTGCACGTCAGCAAAGCATATACTTTTTCATTTGTGATGAAAATTGAGTGATGGATGCTCTACACACAGTAAGAGGTAAACCTTGTCTCCTGTGTGGGAAGACCTAAATTAAGAAATAACATTACGGTGATTTTCCAGGGTGCTAGGCAAGATCATGTAGAAACAGATTATTTGTTTTTTCTGTTATACAATCACAGGATCAATCTGTAACCAAATAAAATTCTGTAATCTGATTTAATAAAAATGGATGGTGACATTCATACCAAAAGCCTGAGTCAATACTTAGCTTATTTTATACCCCTTACTGTTATCATATTAGATTGAGCATTAATGACTGTACTGGTGAGTTGCACTTATTTATTTTTAATTGTCAGCGTCATTAATTTTTGAGGAGTGTTGGCTAGCTTTATGTAAGCAATCTGCCTTTTTCTTACAATCTTGAAGACGTATTCTGGTGATGATATTTTACTGTGTTGTGCTTTACTCATTTTTCAGAGCTTTTCCGCTCGATGAGAGTAACTGTGGAATTAGTTCCTGCTCAACATGAAGTGGGAAAATCTCGTTACTCTTTATATACTGTGAAGCTGAATTATCTGTAGGAATTTACTGGATCAACACTGAGAATGAAAATGTTCCAGTAATAATCTCTGTGTGTGTGTGACCTTTTTGTATAATTGCTCTTATTGTTGGTCTTTAGAAATAATCTCTTATGCATTTCACTGTCACCTCAAGTGAAAAAGCGAATCCCACAGAAGAGTCTTGATTTAAACAGTGATCCATCTATCCGTTAATGGCTTGTTATTTTTGATGTCTGAAACTGTGCCCAACAATTAAATGCTCTTGGGCTGACAAAAGTAGAGTTGGCTTTCGGGTGGAAGGGACATCTACGAATTTAGCAGAAAACTGTCTCTGTATTACATGAACAAGCTAAACTGTGGCCTGTTCAAGAGGTTACGTTTGCTATGGTGTTTTGTAAACTTGGATATTTGTCAGTAAAACATAAAGAAATGTATCATTAATCAGTCTGGCTAGCTTAGTTAATTTTAGTGATACTGTATGAATTGACTGAGTTTGTGCTTATGTTGTTGCGGAGGCGCTGCCTGCAAGGTGCTTTCCTAGTCCTTTAGGGAGGAATCATCAGCTCTGGGAACAGCACAGATCACAGATGATGATACCACCAGGTATCAGGGAAATAAACCAATACATGTTAATAATATTAAAGTACCCTTGAAGATCTGCTGAGAGGTGGTACTTCCCCTGCAGTCTGTCCAAGGTTGGCCTGCCACCAGCCGCAGCTCGAGTTCCGTTCTTTGTACGTGCTTGTGGTACGGTCCTAGTTGATGATTTTTGGATTAGGCTTTGTGGGATGGACAGTGTATAGTGGCAGTGTTAAGTGAGATAATTTTGGGATCACAGCTGTATTTACTGCAGAAGTTTGAAGTAAACATTTTTCAAGACTTTGTGGCTCTTGATGAGTTTAATACATAGCTTCTGTTAGTGCTGTATTTTTAGCTCCGCTGCCACACTAAGATTTTAGATACAGAAATACCTTAGTTTGGTTAATCCTGCAAAGGGTGTGGTGTAATTAGATCAGGGTCAAGTAACTCTGATTTGAATTAAATCCACTGTAAAGGATGTAAGTATTCAAGTCATTTAAACATGGATGTCTGATACCACTTCTGATGTGCTGCTGGCTTCTGGCAGTGCAGGGATGCCTGTCCGTCTGCGAGCCCCAGGGTGCCTCCGGCGTGCTCATGTGTCTGAAATGCACTGGATGCCTTGTCTTTCGGTACCTGCTTCTGTTGATCACATCCTGAAAGACTGTCATTAAGACAGCAGACCAAGAGCTCCAATTTGGAGCAATACCAACATGACTAGGGCTGGGATCTGTTGTGCTGTTGGTTGGATCTCTATGGAAAACCTGGATATTAGGCTTTGCATATCACATCAGGCTCTAGTTGCTCCCTGCCCCTTTTCTCCCTGTTCAGAGACTCTGCCTGTATATCTTTTAGCTCGCAGTTTGTGCATGTGTATTTGTGATACAGTTGTTAATTATGTGATTACATAGTTGTCTGTGTGATCCTTGCCTCATTCAGCATGGAGGACAGATGATGCTTGGGGATTCATTATGGCTCTGTAGTCAGAGAGATTGTTGTTTCCAGGGTCACAATTGTGTTCCCTGCAGATGTTGAAATAAATGAGGGAGGGGGTTATAGGAAAAGACAAGATGATCTCATGTCTAAGCCAGTCAACCAGTTGAGTGATGATCTGGAGAACTGGAACTCTGCCTCTAGGATGCTAGACAAATAATTTGAACCAGGCTTTTTTTGTCCTAGGCCTGACCCATTTTCTTATTTCTGCAGATAGAGCAGTATCCTCAGCTTTTTTTCATGTATTCTGTCAAAATGGGTGTGGTAACTTGTTGGTAGTGTACTGTGCAGTTATGGGAAATGGTGTATTTTCTTTTTTATGACTTGCAAATTTACTCTTCGTTTCAGTGATCAGATAGCCCTCACTGGTCTTTTCTCTTGATTGCCTTGGAAGTTTGCAATAGTTCCTCAGAAACTGACATGGCAGGGCTTGTTTATCAAGCTTCTTTAATATCTTCCTTTAAGCAGGACCCAAGGTAAAATAAACTTGAATATAACAAACCAGCTATACAATACGCCTGTAATCACAGTGGTACTTCTCTCCCATCTGCCTGTTTGTGCCACTGCTGAATTTGGCTGATAGAACTTAAAAAGAAAAAAAAAAAAGGCTTTGTAATTATTATTACATTAAGAGAAATAATGGTGAATTTATGTGTCTTCCTTAAGTCTGAAAAGCTACTTGCTTTCTGTGATGAAGATGGCTTGTTCATGTTGCCCTGGCATTGAGCTGCCTTGAATGAAAGCTATGAATTGAATGTGTGTTAAAGTCTTCCTTATTCAGACTTAAATTAAAAACAAATAAATAAAACCAGGGCAATTTCTAACCTCAAGCTATTGTTAGGGCTGGCAGGATCAAAGAAGGGATATTGTAATGTTTTAGTGATCATAGCAAAACAATTTTTTTTCGGGAAATGCCTGCATATAATTGCTCAAGAGCAAGGATTTGGGAATGACATAAATGACCATTCTTCAAGGCTTATTCTGCCCTTTCAAAATTGGGGATTAGGAATCATTTCCTTGAGACCAAGCCCAATATGGTGCTTTTTTTTCTTTTTTCTTTTCAATATGAAACATCTACTGATGGTTCAGGAATAATAAGGAACAGCTTCTAACATACTTTGATGATTGGAAACAGTTCTGAAGTTTAAGGTCTCTTGTGGTCCCTGATTTTAGTAGAAATCTTCACAAAGTGTCCGGAAAACATTGGCCTATGAAGAGCCTGTATAAATCTTGCCAGCTGGTATGCAATTTGTCCATCAAAGCCTCTTGCAGATCTCTGTAAACATCTGAGGTGGCCACGGAGGTTATACACAGCTTCGGTTGGAATTCCCTTCCCAGGTTTACAGAGGGCACTATTGCTGTTCATTTATAGTTAAATGAGCAGCTGCCAAATGAACTCTCCTGTGCTGTTGCTGTGAATTACATGCTGGAATTTGTTTTCTGTTATTTTCTTAAATGCAGTTAGGTGCAACTCTGGGAATTTGCTGTTTGCAGAAAAAGCTTTCAAGGTGAAGTCAGTATGAAAAGATGCATCAAAATGACTAAAAAGACCATTACTACAAAGGGTTGCAGTTTTCTGGTGCACGTTGCTGACTGTCATGCTTGTGCTCTTAACTGGCTTTTTGGTTCTAAAATTTGTGTCCCTTGGTGTGAATGCAGGACATATCCTTGTACCTCATTTTGTACAGGGAGGAAGACACAAAGAGGAACTTCATCTCTGTTGTGAGCATCTCAATACAGAAGCAAAGCATGGGAACCAAGAATTTGTCACTACAGCAAAAAGGCTGTTAACTAAACACAGCTTTTTAGATTTTTTGTTAAACTAGGGTTGTTAGGCATAAAAGCATGTACATTTAAATGTATGTAGTGGCTTACTATAATTACTCTGTTCTTTTGTTTATCTGTAGAGCTCCTAGAAACACTTGGATGACTGGAATTCAAGATATTTGGTTCATGCTCTTTCATTGAGGTACAAGAAATAAGCGCAAGAAATTTCTCCAATTCAGGCAAGTAAATATCTATACGTCCATAGCTTATATGAGATTAAGTTCTTGGGAAAAAAATGTATTGTGGGAACCTTCCTAAAATGAAGGAACTAATTTGCTCTGATACAAAATATAGTCTAAAAGGAACATAAACATTTTAATTATTTTTTTTTCTTTATTTAATAGTTAAAAATCTGTCATCCTGAGCTCTGCTTTGAAAAGAAATTGAGAAGCCTCTTCTATGTAGAATTCAAATAGACATTTGACAGTTGTCTTGAATGAAAATTAAAGAAAAAATGTCTGTCATAGATCCTTATCAACACATTGTGGTAAGTAGCTTTGAATCTTCTATGCATACTGCCTTGTGTAGTATATACTGTCTTGTATAATGTATCCTGTTTGAAGTTACTCTAAGTAAGCACAGAGCATTAGAGTTATCATTAATTCCTTAAAGAAATTGAAAGTGTAGTTAGAGCAAATTTCTTCAGAAATTTATTTGAATAAAATTTGAAAGATTCAATTTAGCTTTCTGAAATCACATCATGGCTTTGAGTGTAGTTGCTCAAGTGTAAGTCAAAACAGAATATGGGCTCCAAACAACCTCGTGGGTACCATGTAGTAGGGTGTCCTTTTGAGGGACTTGCCTGTTCAAAGTGTTTCATGAAAGTGCCTGTAGTTAACTATTTCATATAAGTTTTTCCACATGTAGATTGTCAAACTGGACTGTAGTCTACAAAAGTAACATCATGCATCTTTTTCCCTTACAATACTTCTTTTTTTGTACTATTCCAGTTACCAAATAAGTCTTTTCCCTTTTCATCAGTATATATAGAGGGATAAGCTGGCAGTTTTGGATATTTAGATCTTAAACTAGTGTGTATCAGTGATGTTGATTCAAAGAGAATCATCAAAACATAGCCTGCAAGCTCTCTTTGCCACCAAACAAGACACTGCTGCCAAAAGCTCCTGCTCTCTTCTTGCTGCTTTATTCCAATGTTCCTGCTGCATCCCTTGTACCAGCTGTCAAATGTATCTTATTGGAGTGAGCCAATTGGTAGAAAAACAATTCAAAGCAAAAGATAACTTCTGTGCTGTCAGAGCTGGGCCAAGGGAAAAGTACAACGATGTGAGCACAACCTGTGTCAGTAGAGAAGTAGGGGCAAGGGAAGGAGGAGAAGGGAATTAGGAGCAGAACTGCCCTTTGTACAACAAGCCAGTGGAATAGGGTAGCAGCTTGTTGAATGCTGACTTTTGGCTGTAATATTCACTTGCATATCTTTGTTTGAGTGGCTTTCCAAAGTAAACACTGAAATGGCAATTCCTACTCAAACTGAAATCTTGAAACAAGCTGGGTGTGTACATATCGAGCGCTTTTCCTACCAGTCCCAGAGTCAGCCGGCAGGAAAAGCAATACGTACTCAAAGATAGTTACCATACACTTCTCATAATGTTGAACTTTCACATTGCTAAAAATATAGCCTATGCTTCCTTGAAATGATCTCTTATCAATTATGTGGTTTCTACCCCACGCAGTCACATCCTTTACATGAGTTTGCAGCCAGCAGATGTCAAACTAGTGTTTTACTCATTCCATGGTTCTGCGAGCGCTGCTGTAAAAGCAAGTTTCAGGTTGATGTTTGTATTCAACAGTGTTAAACCAATACACTAACTTCCTTCTTTCTGCATCAGTGCCCTCTCCTGGATGGACTTCTTGATCTAGTCAGTGTACCTTTATGGAAGATGTCTCTGAGGCACTCAGTTATATTTCATATAAAAGATCTTTTTTGATAACAATATATATATAATAATGAGCAAAATGCAGCCTTAGAATTATTCGTAGTTACAGTCCCCTGGCAATACTGAACTGTTGCTGCAGGAATGTTGCTAATGCAGGAAGGAAATGGTTAATGCAAGAGCTGATCCTATAATGGCTTGAAAAGTGAATGTAAATCTTTGAGGTTTCTTAATTGGAAAATTGAAATTGTATGGGAAGTTTTACTGAAATTTAGAACAGTCAAGGGCAGCAGGGTCATATCAATGCAAAAATCTTGAATTTTAATGATGCTTGGCATTAAAAGACTCAAAACAATTCTTCATTTTCCAAAAGTCCTCCTGTTAACTATTGTGTTTTCCAATCTCTTTTTCTTTTTTTTTCTTCTCTTTTTATGAAAGACTTGGAGGAATAAAATAAGGCATTCACAAAGCTACTGCATCTACAGACAGAACTGACTGTACAAAAAATGCTTTTAGATTCAGAGAATAAAGAATTAAAATGCATAATACCTCTTCAGTTACATTGATAAGGGAGATAAATATTATAACAATGGGGAAAATCACTTCAGGATAAAATTTGTGTGTGTGTGAATGCACAAATGTTTGTCTTCATTGTAATACTCTGTGAAAGAAGAACATGGACCTTATAAAAATATGTTACTTAAGAAAACAACCAAATGTTTTCATTTGTCTAGCCCAATAGTCAGTTCAAGTGTCCTTAATGTTAAGGAAATGAAAGTAATAGATACTTATTACACAGTCTACCTGTACCAGAGCTTCTTGACTGTTGGGTCATGTGCAAGTATATATCCTGATTGAGTTACATTCTCTGACTCAGTGTTCCGGAATATGAAAAATACTTTATTCAACACATGCAAATCACTTCCTTTCTCAGTAAGTGTTACAAGTTTGTAGGTAAAACCCAAAGGTGTTACAGGAGATCTTAGCATGTTGTTCTATTTCCCAGCCCTGTAGTGGGAAGGGAATGGTGTTTATGTACATACAAATGTAGTGATACATAAAATAGAGGAAATCAGATAATGAGGGAAACTTTACTGGGAGGGGAAAAAAAACCCAACAGTCAAAGGTGGGAGAAGATCAAAGGATGCAGGAGGAGGAGTTAGAAGAGATGGAGAGCTGTAGCATGGAACAGGAGATACTGACCCATGGCTGTGCAGTATACTTGGGAAACCCTGTGTATTGAACCACTAGAGAGTGGTTACTGTCCACAGGAGCTTCCATGATTCAGAAAACCCATGTTCAGAGAGGGCACATAAAATTTTTTTGTTCTCCTTTCTTCTCTAAATTTATGGAGCAAGAGGAAGTGAAAAGAAACACATATGTAAAGCTAGGTCACTTTGGATGACAGGATTTAGGGCTTTGAGTTAATTAAGAGCATCTGAAATTTTTAACCTGGCTTAGATTTTTTAAAGGTATGCAGGTGTTGCTCCACTCAGTGTTGCAACATCTAAGTGATTTATATACCTTCGTCTATTTTTCAGAAGTAATTGAGGAGTTGACAATGTACAGATTTTTATCAAGACAAGGTGAACATAAGTGACTTCAGAAAATGCAGCTTAGTCATCTAAACCAGCAAGAGCTGGACTTATAAAAGTATTCAGAGTCAATACATTTCTTCTGGTATTTTCAGGGGACATCTATCTTTATAACTCAGTCTTTCCAAAAACTACCAAAAAAGTTCTTCTGAAAGTTTTCTAGCAATTAATAGGGACATTTAGGCCTCTTAATACCCTTAGAAATGGGATCCTAAGTGGAAAATTGCCTTAATTTCTGATTGCACTTAAGTTTCATGAAAAGCGTTTATTTTGGATTATGAAAAGATCTAGGCTTCTGAGCTTCCCGTGTATCTCTGTGTACCTTTTTTTTTGTACTAAGAGGGAGATTGTTTATTTTAGCAGTTGCAATTTCCTCCAAGCATGTGATTATGGCCAAATATTAATAACCTCTATAATTATAAGCTTCAGTGTGTTATTTTGGGTGAAGTGTTGGGAAAGAAGATAATGTTTTTCTGTTTTGCCAGACCTCTGTATGCTTGCATTCACTTCGGAGGATACCAGTTGGAATGATGGGGCTTGCTGCTTAAGTCAGTAAAAAGCAATTCTCACGACAGTATTAGTAAAACAGTTACTGACTTGTATTAGGAAGTGGTGACGATCTTTGTACTGCTGTAATGAGAATACACTAGTAAGTGGTGGTTTGGTGTTGGTTTGATGGTAGGCATTTTATTTAGGCGTATTAGTTTCAGGTGTAGGACTAAGAGATGCAAGAAAACTACTGTACAGAAGTGCTTTTTGTCAGTGAGCATCTTGTAGAATCCCCATTTTACACTCAGGACTCTGGTGCACCAGAATTGCTTACGAGTTCCACATAGCAGCTGAGAACTAAATCCAGCACACCCATGTCCCATACTTGTAAGTTAATTATAACTCCATCCTCCTCTTTGTTGCTAAATATTCAGTGATCTCTGATTTGTGGTCTCCAGCAAGGACAGGCTCTTTCCTAACAGTGAAGAATAAGAAGGGTGGCGTGTTTGTAGTTTGGGCTGTTTCTCTTAATTATAAGGTTTTGTATGACAAAGGAACTACATCAATCTGTATGAGCAAACTTGGAGGCCAGTGCCATATTGTGAAACCAACACTTCACCAATCTGACATGTGTGCAAAGGTGGCACATGCTGATAAAACAGCTTAGAGCAATTTCAAGAAGCTAACTGAAAGCAAGGAACCATGAGAGTTGTTTTCTGGAGAATGTAAAAATTCTTGAAGCAGGGTAAATGGCAGAGCTGGAGTAACCTTATGTAGCGGGGTTCACAGTAGTACCAGCTGTTTCCAGATAGCAGAGCAAATGGGGGTTTTAATGGGTGTGATGGAGAACTCTGGACTTTTTTTTTTTTTTTGCCATGTGGCAGAAGCCAAAGTTTGTTCAGAAATCCTGTCCTCCTTCCGATCCATCCATCTGCTCTTGGAAGCTGGGATATTAAAGGTGATGAATGTCACAACATCAGTGGTACGTCTCTGTGTGAGCACAAGGCAGGCTGTTCAATTTGAATTCCCACATCCAAACCATTCCTGTTGGGTTCGGTACTTTTGAGGTGAGTTAACAGTCCTAGTTGGAAGAATCAGTTAGAGTCTGGATTCCATTTTTACTGTGGTTGGTGAACCACTTACTGTGTAATGACAATTTCAGTATGCCATTTGTAAGGTAATTGTTTACATTGCCACAGTTTTCCCCTGCCAGCTCACTTGTTCTTTGAACCAGACAACTCCTGCGCCTTACAGGGGAAAAATTACAGAGTTGAAATTTACTGCTGGTCAGGCTATCATGAAGTGAGCCTTCAGCAGTCATCCCAACATGTGGGTGACTACTCCTTAATAAAGATGCAGCAATTCAGTGTCTGGGTCAGCCAGTGTCTGCAGTGAAGTCATAACCTCGGTATCACAGTGGGCATTTTCTTCTACATATTTGGCCAGGGTGATGTGGCTACGCCTTTGCAGATCTCTAGACTACAGACTTGTGGAGGAGTTTGTGTTGGTATCATTTGCATTGTATTTTTAATGTCTCCTGACTCAACTGTTACTTAAGCAGTCTCAAGCCACTTTTGCTCTCTTTAGAAAATTGGCTTTTTTCTTTTTTGAGAAAATAATATATAATCTATAAAAACCCTGTTGGGTTTTTTTTTGTTTATTTGTATTGGAAATCCAATTTCGTTCTGGTTTCTGGGTGTGTGTTGTAGATATGGAATAATAAAGCTTGACTGAAATAACAAGTTCTGAATAGTAATGAGAACCACCTGAAGGCCCTTTTGAAGTCCAAGAGTTGAAGCAGCAGTAGCTCAAATTGGAGGCATGTGCCTTTTTAAAATTAAGCCACATATTGTTTGCTTACTTCTTTGTTCCTTATGGAAAAAAAGAGGGAAGTATCCAGATGGAAAACATAGCAAGAAAGTACCAGGCACAGCCTGATTAAGTGCCCCATGTCCCATATGAAGGGTATTGTTGGTTCTGGTACTTCCCCCTTTTGCTTTTCATGGGAATATGTCGTAAGGCCTTTAAAATAGCACATTAAAATAAAAACAAATATTAATGTATTTCACAAAGTTAATGGATGTTGAGGCAAAGATGGAAAATATCACTGGTTTAGTTTTAGAAATAGAAGCCTGAGGTAGGGGTGTATCACTATCTATAACAGGTGACAACTTGAGGTCCCACAGGAGGTATGCTTTTGTTACAGTGGCTTGAGCTGTAAAAGCCAAGCAGCTCGGACCCAATGCCCTTTGCAGAGTCAGAGCTCAGGTCTGAGGTGGTCCCCTCCCAGTGCCCCAGTTCCTGTTCCAGCAGAGTGAGCTGGCTCCCTCCAGGTCGTACCAGCGGGTGAGTCAATGTCTGGGCACCGTATGCGGTCAGACAGCCAGGGTGTCTTAAGGCTGGCTTTAAGATAGCAGTGTAGATGGAAGCACTGAGCGCCTGTTGCGTGAGACCTGATCCTGGCCCAAATACATAAAACTTTAAACTTGCCCACGAGCTCCGTACCGTGTCCCTGTAACCGCCAGCATTGCCTGCCTTGCAGTATGCAGTGGTGATTCTCATAACAGGATTCAATGGGTTATCCAACTTATGGCTGTGTGGATAAAGTGAAAATAGATGTGAGTTACTGAACTCTTTTCATTAAAATTTTTACTTTTGTTTCTTAACTTCACATCTCTTTCTACTTCCCTATTTTGTTCAGGATAGGCTTGCTCTTAGAAAGGCAGCTCCTGCTGGGTGCTTGGGCTTTGCAGGAAACAGGAAGCTCCAGAAACCACATGAAATTTGTTTGTGAATGTTTTTAACAGCTTGCTTTTCACCTTCCCTCTATTGTTTTAAAGATACTTGCACTTTGAATATTGATGCATACTAAAAGGGTATATTCCATGCATTGCTAAATCTATCCCTTTCATGTGTTGTATGCATATATCTGTTCCAGAACATATACTTTGAAATAATTGCATCCATTCCTTTTATGGGGGGAAGGTAATTACAAGGAAGTATATAACATATACTTTGAAATAATTGCATCCGTTCCTTTTATGGGGGGAAGGTAATTACAAGGACAAGCACACTATTAAGTAGCGCCCCCCTTTTTTTGTTTCCTAACCATACCAAGTTGTCCCTGACTGACTAAATGCCTTAAAGCAGGTTCTGTAGAGAGGAGGAGTGTTATTTATTGAGATTAGTAGGTGTGGCTGCAGGAAAATCAAGCAGCCCTAGTATAAGGTCTGACCTTTCAGTAAAGCTGCAGGGTGCAGTTCAGCTTTAAGATGCTCTATCCAGTATGAGTTTCACTTACATTTTGACTGGGTGATTTCTCTGTCTCAGTTTTTGGACAAAACGAAACCCATTTTGATAAGTGACTTTTGGTTCTGGAGCTTAATCACCTCTAACTCTCTGACTTCCAGGTGGAACACCAGTATTCACACATATTCACTGTGACAGTAAGGAAAGCCACAAATGTCACAAAAGGAGCAATCGGTGACATGCGTGAGTATTTCTCTTTCTATTCTGCCTTTTTCTTATAGGAGACTGTTGCCATAGGCATGGGGAGGTGACACATCAAGCTTGCCACGCATTAAATGATTGCTAGTGGGTTGGTGGTTTTTGGTGTTGCTTGTTAAAGCAATGTACCCATTTCATTACTCACTCTAGCTCAGAAAGCAGATTTGCTGCTCCTCCTTTCCATTGATCTAAAAAAGCTGGGTGAGTTGTAAACAGTTTGCCTACAGGCAAGCGACACTACACTTAGTTTTATTGGCTCAGTCGGAAGTGCTGTTCTGAATATAGTGAAACTGGCAATTGCCAGTATCTTCAAAAGGCTGTGGTTTGGTGGTGGGAACACTTTAAAAAGAAAGAACCACAGAGCTCTGCTGAGTCAATGCAGAGCAAGAAGAAGAAAAAAAAAAAATCCCAAACAGATAAGCAGATCTGATGGTGGATAGCTATATAAGACACCAGCACTTTTTCCCCTTCCTGTTAGGCTTCTGAGCCTCTGGACTTAGTAGCTGAGCAGGAAACTAGGAAGAATGACCAGTGAAAACTCATCTGCTTTTAAGGCAGGGGGAAGAGGGAGAGCATAATATAGTGGCTGAATCTGTAAAATTCAGCCTGCTTCCTTGGTTATGACTGTTTTGCTCTCGGGTCTTCTCTCCCTTTCGCTGATGCTTCGTGCAGTGTTGCATAGCCCAAGACTTGCAGGCTGGGGCTGGGAGGATGAGTGTGGTTCCTTGCTCTTGCTCTCTCTCATCAGGCTTGTTTGACGTACAGTTATTGCTCTCCCAGCACCTTCCTGGAAACTGCTATCATGTCAAACTACAGCAGCTACTCTGACACACAGCTTCGCTTCAGTGGGTTAACAGTTTGGTTGTTTTTGTAGTGTCTACTGTTGATATTAAACTTGGTGGGGTAAGTGGGAGGGACAGTTGGAAAGGAAATGTTCAAGAGCCTCAAGTATGAGGGGAGAGAGGGGAGCCCTGGAAGAAGGATTTCGGGATCTATTTAGCATCTATTGTGGGGTGAAGGAAAGGAACACACAGAGAAGATGCAGTGGAGTGTTATCCTGGTGGGCTACAAGAGGGTCTTTATATAAGAAGACCTCAGGAAAAATGCTGTAAAGAGTAGAACAAGAGGCCCACAGGTCTGCATGTGTAAGAAGATGGGTTAAATGGAAAGACAGAGATTTCTGGCATGAGACAGTGTAGGGAACATGGGAAGAGAAGAAAAGGGGTTGAAATGGGGACCCCATGATATGATATTAAAGGGAGTATGGAAAGGGTGAAGAAAGCCGGAAGACCATGGCATTATTTCTGCCCCACCTCTGCCCTCCCACCTCAGGACAAGTACGGTCACGTAGTATAATTTCCAAATGTTATTCATCAATATAATTGGATTTTTTTTTTCCAGACAGAACTCTTATCATACCAAATCATCAAAACCAAAAAGCTATTCAGGAAGAATCTTTTATTTTGCTAAAACCTGACAGAACTACGCTCAAGGGCCACTGAAACCTGCTTGGTTTCCTGTGAGGCAGCTTATAAGTGCTCTGTAGCCTGAGGTACCTGTGGTCTGGGGCATCTCTGAGTGAGCTTCCAAGTTTCTGGGGCTTGTTCTTGAAGTCCTGGCAAATCCCCTGAAGTGAAAAAACAATATTGTTTCTTCTCTTTTTATTTTGGGAAAATTAAAAATTTTTTTATTTCCCTTGGAGATGTGGAGCCTGGAAGCTATTTGATCAAATCAGGAATCATGTTAATTACTTAAGAAGGATGTATGGAGCTGTGAGTCGTGGAGGATCAGTTGATTGTGCCAGCCTGTACATATATTTATTTATTTTAAATTTGATTTGCCAAAACTGTACCTTGTTGAAGGAATTTCTGAACTTTTACATTGGGTTTCTGATCTTGGGGATATAGGGTTTGTTATCAGGGAGGATGGCTGTGACACACAATATGAGATGCCTTGGCTGGGATGAGTACCTAAGTGTTGCTCTCCTATGGTGGACTCCGCCAAGCTGTTGACTCTTCTGGTGGGTTTCTCCTAGTTTATTCTATTGTTTTTGCTCCAGTCTTTGTAGACAGTCACTTCTTTATGGGCAAGAGAGGTAATTTTACATTGTGGTGGTGATGGAGGTCCTGGGGAACATGAGGGATTTTTTTATAATGTCTTGCTCCTTTTTCCATACCAGTCTTTCCAAAACTTTCTGGAATAGCTATGAAAGACCTGACTAAATCTAAGTTTATTTAATATGTGGAAGTCCTTAAAATTATGCTGTTTGTGTGATATATTTCATCTTAAGGATTTGAAGTCTACCTTTGCTCAAGGAGTTTTAAATTAGAGGTCTGCCCCAACTGTGGCTGGATGTGGAGGGCCTGACTTCTCTGGCATACTTATGCACATTTCTGTCTCCTCAGTCCAGCCCTCCACTGGACTTTCCCCAGTAGTTCCCTGTCCTCCTTGAACTGGGGATCCCAGAACTGGACACAGTGCTCCAGATGCTGCCTCACCAGGGCAGAGTAGAGGGAGAGGATGACCTCCCTCAATCCGCTGGCCATAGTCTTCTTATTGCACCCGTTATACCATTGGCCTTCTTGGCCACAAGGACACATTGCTGGCTCAGCAATGTGGATGGAGAGAGGAGGTGATGTCTAGTGTGGTTTCAGTCACCTTTACTCCATGTGCCTTTACCTTGGGGTTGTGTTCACTTTCAGCCATGGCTCTTGGTGTTGAAGCTGGCTTATTCAAAGCCCGTCACCATAGTCTGGTGCAGGTTAGGCATATGTGTGTGGTGTTTTAAACCTGACCTAGCTGAAAGGGAAGGAATTGGAGATTTGTGTGCTTCTGTTAGAGCAGGGACAGAATAGTTTGTGTTACAGCAGCTCATTCAGGGCTAACCCGGTTGTTCTCTACATCACAGATGACTGGTCTTGCATCCTGACTTAAATACAGTATACTTGATTTAACTCTTGAAGTATCATCAGATAATGCTCTTCCTGCAAGGGCATGAGGCAGAACCTGATTTTTGCAAGAGAACTTCAAGAGGAAAACAAGCCAAACTCCTCCCCTTTGCCAGCCTAACAACCTGGAAAAAGTAGGTCAGAGTTGGCCAATCTTCCAAGTCCTACAGGCTGCACATGCAGATCTTCACGTGGCAAGGAGCCACATCTTCAAAAATGAGCAGCACTAGTAAGAGCTGCTCATGAAATGTCTACTGCATTTCTCAGTCTAACATTGAGGAAACCGTAGACTAGATTCCAGTTTCCTTGACACAGGCAATATTTTTTGCCCTGTTGTAGCATTAGCCAGAAGCAGTGCTGGGAGGTGAAAGTCAAGTTAGAAACAGACTCATGTGTTCCACAGTGAAACCGATCCAGAAAATGCTGCTCTTTTCAGTTGCAAAAATACCTTTTAGATGAGAACCAAATTCTGTCTCTGAACACTTACCGTGTAGTTATTGAGGCAGGAACTGTTTCTGCAAAATGTTAGTGAAAACTTCTTTTCATCTTTGAATAAGGCTCTGTTGTTACTCCATTACACTGTAATGATAACGTCAAAGCAGTGATGCTGGCTTAGACCAAGGATCCATCTTGCCTGATACTCTGGTTGAAGGACCTCCTTGTCTCCCTGCCCTTGCCATGCTGTGACTGGCTGCAGCCCCAGGAGAAGGGAGCTTGACAGTGACTGGGAACTCTGTTTTATGTGTTGTCTTGTCTCCAGGCAGAACTTTGGTGTGGAGCTCTCCTTCAGGGAGTTGTGGACACTACTGTTTCTCAATTTTGAGCCTCTCACTACCTCCATTTAGGAGAGTTCTCCCCCCTTTTATTACATTTTTCTCTGTAATAATTTGATTTTTTTTCCTGCTTTCTTTACTTTTCCCTCTCATCCCCCTTCCTAGGGAGGGCTTTGAAGTTGTGTTATGGTTAGGGTTGATCCGAAGTTGTGTTAGGGCTAATGCCTGATTCTAAGGGAGAAGCAGGAATAACATCAGTCACAGTCAGATACAAAGGAAAAATATGAACTGGATAAGTGTATGATATTTTCCTCTGATCTTCTCCAAGCACTCAGCTGCCTTCAGTAAGGGACTCCCTGAGCTGGATGTATTTTTGGATGCAATTAGTAGCCTTCACTGAGTGTTTCTTGTATAAGCTTCACTGGTTTTCCTTCAATCCACGTAAGTCTTCTCATCCACAGCTTCTTTGATAACAAGTTCTGCAGGTTGCTATCTGCTGCATGAAGATGGCTTTTAATTTGTTTCGAAAATGGGTTTTTAAAAGTGTGATTTGAACCATCCTCTGGTTACTTGCATTTTGCAGGTTGCTAACTGTCCTGCATATGGGTCTGTACGCATAATAATGTTCTTATGCATAAATAAATGTGCTAATTTATATATTTGTGACTGAATGTGTTCTGAAAGGGAAGAAAAAAATATCATTTAACCTTCATCATTACAGAAAGGAAGGCTTTTGTAAGGCCTGTAACTAAAACTATGCTCTGTCAAAGTGTCCAGCCAACAGTGTTACAGGCCAGATGAAATACAGGGATTATCTGCTTAATGGTGGGTTTTGCTGTGCTTAGTTGGACGCATTAACTCACATGGAAAATCATCTTTCCCTTTTGTAGACCTGTTAACGTCAGCGTGCATCTGCTGTTCTAAGTGCTTTGTAATCCATTTGTTCAGTAAGTGAAATGCCTGTGATACCATGCAGCGAGGTTGAGGTAGACACAATTCCCGGGTGTCACTTCAGTTTTGGGTTTCCTGTAATTGCTTGCAGTAGCAATGATGATGGTTTTACTAAGATGCCATGTTTATGTAGCCAACCTGAGCCTACACTTGGCTACAGTTCTGCCTGGTTAGAACAGCTCCAGGTTTTTAAAACACTCCCGAGACAATTGTCTGAATTAAAAAATCAGGGGAAGAACCTCTTCTCACTCAAAGGCCTGGAGGCAGCACTTCAGCCATATAGTAAATCAGGCTCTAGGGCTGCTGGTAGAGG